TTAAAAACAAATTTTGTCTCACTTGAGACAATTCCCTTAAAATGCCATCTTTGGGTTGTTTCCTTTGAAACGAATTTTGTCTCTTTCGAGACATTTGCTTTTGAAAAACTTATCTTTGAGTTTATTTCACTTGAAACAAAGCAAATATCTTTGAGATCGTTTCTCTGGAAACGAATTTTGTCTCCCTTGAGACAATTTTTATCAAAATCCAATTTTTGAGTTTGTTTCTATTGAAACACATCTTTGAGTTGGTCTCCCTTGAAACCATTATCCCTAGAGATGGCCAGTAGTCCTCATCATGTAGGAACCGTGTCATCCCCAGACCAGATCTCTTCATCACGTATGAGCCGTGTCAACCATAGATAACCAGCCGTCCTCATCACGTAGGAACCGTGTTATCACCTTTAGATGGCCAGAACTCTTCATCACGTATGAGCCGTGTCATTCCCCGACCAGATCTCTTCATCACGTAGGAGCCGTGTCACCCTTAGATAACCAGCCGTCCTCATCACGTAGGAACCGTGTTATCACCTTTAGATGGCCAGAACTCTTCATCACGTATGAGCCGTGTCATTCCCCGACCAGATCTCTTCATCACGTAGGAGCCGTGTCACCCTTAGATAACCAGCCGTCCTCATCACGTAGGAACCGTGTTATCACCTTTAGATGGCCAGAACTCTTCATCACGTATGAGCCGTGTCATTCCCCAGACCAGAACTCTTCATCACGTAGGAACCGAGTTATCATCCACCCTTAGATTCCCCAGACCTCTTCATCACGTATGAGCAGTGTCGTCCCCACCAACACGCATATCCAATTTATAGGAAAAAGAAAGAGAACCAGACAAAAACGTGTTGTATTGTCGTCTTTGCCCTATTATTGTTAACACAAGAATGTGCAAAGAGGGGCAGCTGTAGACACCCGTTTTTGTCCGGGTTTTTATCGTTATTTTATTATTATTATTATTATTTATTATTATATTATTAATATTACATATTACAATTTTTGCAGGCCAAAGCCCAATATACCAAACCCGACCCAGAATTACAAGACTGGAGCCCAGACCCGGTTCAGGCCCAATACCCGAACCAGGCCTGGATCTGGCCCAAGTAATTAGGGTTTTAAACCCTAAGCATCATCATCCAGCCGCCGCCGCCAGCAGCAGGTGAACAGCCGCGCCGCCGTTACTGTTCCGGCCCACTCCGATGGTCCAGCCGCCGTTCCCACGTCACCAGCGTCATCTACAGTGCAAAACAGCCCCAAATCAGTCCCAAATTATCATTTACAGTAACCTATTTAATACCCCATTTTAAAATAAGTTCAATCCCGATTTTTTCGGGATTTAACATGGCAAAAAAATCTGGAAAATGATTTTCACCTAGGTAGAGGCTTCATGATTATCACACAAGAAAATCCCACATAAATGAGAGAGGACCGGAAAAAAAAAAAGAAAGGAAATCAGAAAGGAAAAGGGAGGAACCGAAGCTTACCCATAACCGACCACCATTGCTTCATCGGGGTGATTAGGCTCTATCTTTGGAGGTATTTTTTTTACCTTTCGGATTTGGGGGTTTCGGGTTTGATTGTGAGTGGGGGTTTAGTTTCAGGTCTATTTTAGGGGGGAAACTGTGTAGTTTGTGAGACCCCGTGGCCACCGTTCTACGGTGGCCGGGGTCGAGTGCTCTGCTTCGGCAGCGAGGGAGGGAGAGATTACAGAAGGGAGAGGGATGGTCGAACGGCTGAGGAAAATGGGGATATGGCAAATGATTTAGGGTTTCAAAATAACCCTTAAAAGGGTTATGTATCAGACGCCAAACGACGTCGCGTAGGGAGGCCGAGCGCCTGGGTCTTTTGGGGTTAATATCCCATTTAGTCCTCGCTCCTTTGTAAACTCTTACCCGTGTCCTGGACTTTAGGGGTTAATGTTATATTTGGTCCTTGTAGTTTGTAAACCTTCGGTTTTCTTTCATGAATGGAAGTTTAATGGCCTTTCATTTTGAGCTCATATCTTGTTTAACGTTGCAATTTAGTCCTTGTCTGTTTTAATTTTTTTATGATATTATTTCAATTTGGCCATACTATTTTAGTATATTTGTATTTAAGTAATGTATATTTTATGTATTTCATTCCAGTCCTTATTTACTTATTATTATGGTGTTTTTGTTTAAATTATAATGGTGGCCTGATATTTTATATCTTTTCATTTTGATCCCTATTTGTTCATTATTGTATTTTGGGTAAATACTTTGTTTTGAGCTCATAGTTGTAATTATTTCATTTTAGTCACTGTTTTATCTCATTGTGTATTTTTCTGTGGTATTCGAATCTGGCCACCATATTTATAAATCTTTTATTTTAATCCTTGTTTTACTTTTTGGTTTAATCATTATTCAGCCTTCATGTTTCTGTTTTAATTTCAATCTAGTCCTAAGTATTATTTATGGCTTATTCACATTTTCTGATGTTTGTATTAGTTGTTGTTTGTGATTTGGGCCCTGTTTATTTTGTAATTACTTTTTAGCCTGTTAATTTCTGCTTTTACTAATTTAGTCCATTATGTTTATGTATTTCTATTTTAGTCCTACTAATGTATATTATGTCATTTTTGTTGATACTTGACTTTGGTCCCAATGTTTGTAAAAGTTTCATTTAGTCATTGATTTTATATGTTAGGTATTTTGTTAATGATCAAATTTATCCCCGACATTTGTGAATATTTTATTTTATTCATTTATGTATGATTTTATTGTACTTGTTATTCGGTTATTTGTATTATAAATAATGTTTTTAGTAATGTGAATATTTTGTTTTGTATTTCCAATTACATTATTTTCATTATATTTTTATCTATGTATGAAATATTCGATTATATTTTCAAAAACACGTATGCGTAGAATGGGCGTGGAAAGTACCACTTGATCGAAGTGGTGTGATCCGGTACGGCATTTTAACGACATAGAAACTTGAAATAAGTCGAGTATATTTCGTTAATTAATTTGTTCAAACGATGCAATGTGTGTTATTTTAAGTGACAATTTTTTTATTTTATGTGAATGTAAATTTCAAATTTTGCATTTGTATTCAATTCACATTTTAGTTAATCAATTTATTTTGTTGTATGCAAACATCAATTTTATTTATATTCGATTCACATTTTATCAAGAAGGAAATATTCTTTATGGATGAGAAATAGTCGAGTTAGCTTTTCCGATGGAGGATTGCTAATTTCGAGATTTCTTTTCGAGTTAAAGAATTTTCTCTAATTAAATAATTCGAAGCAAATTAATTAATGTTCGATAAATGGATCATAAATTAACTTTATATTCGACTCATAAATTCCACCATTTACAACGATGTGTAAGCGACACAGTACCAATTTTGGGCGTTGCGGGGTGTTTACCCTTCCCCGCACGTAACCGACTCCCGAATCCATTTAAATGAATCTTTGGTAATGCAGACCGAATCTTGTCTTAAAAAATGATTTTTCTTAAAATTGTCTTAAAAGACGTTTTTAGGTATTCGACCTACCTAACCCAAAGGTTGATGGCGACTCTTTTTAATTTTATTCAAATCAATTCAAAATCACCCATTTTTCCAAATTAAAGTCATAATTGTTTTTAAAAAATAATATTTAATTGTTTTACAAGAAATGGTTATGACATCCAACATTACACCATGAAGGTAGGCGCAACGCTTCTCCAAGGATCGTGTTCCCAACACGATTTACTCCACGTGACTATTGTTTCTTGAAATCTGATAATTCACACCCTTTTATTCCCTAAATATTTATTTATACATACACCGGCGGTTCCATATATATTTGAAGGTGAACATGTGGGATAATGGTTAAAGTAATGTTTTTTATAAAAAAAAATTTACCAAAATAATTTCCTTCGAATATTATTTCTCAGACTAGGACAATTGTTACAATATCTTTAAAAGATTTTAGGAGTGTATGGACTTTTGTGCATCTTTAACTTTCCGTTAAAGACATGAAAATTCATTGGAAAAATTGAAGTCGCACTGTGTTCTTTACGGTGTTTTTGATGTATTTTCCTTGACACTGTAACAATAATTCTAGATTAGAAAATAATATGATGAGTCTTATATGGAGAAATTATTTTTCTCACGGTTCTACATGAGCAAGGAAGCTGAACATATATTCACTTTAAAATCTGAATTTTTATATTAGTTGTTTATTTATTGAAGGTGTCCATCGTAAAACTTTATTTGTTTTCGTTCATACGAAAAATTTATGTTATTAATACATACGTGCTCATCCTAAAAAAATTTTCTGAATATGTTACTATATATATACATACACGAATGGTCTCGAGAATAATATTCTTTTTCTTTGTTGTCCTTTTGATTTTAGGGTTTTACAGTGATTAAACCAGATCGATCCACATAGCATATTTGGTCTTGGTGGGTAAGTCTCCCAATAGAGATTATTTGCATATATAAGACATTAAATTCGAAATATGCTTAAACAATATTAAGTTGCTTTTCACTTGAAAATTTATATTAAAGATAAAATTTTAAGATGAGATAAAATTTTAAAAAATTAAATTAAATTATATATAAATGCATATATAATAATTTAAAATTTAGAGTGATAGCTTTATCCACTCGCATGCATCCATTCTTATATGAAAATAATGGATTTTTCGAGATATTGAGCCAAAAACGATACTAATTAGAGTTCATATTTGATTGAATTAACGCCACATCAGTTTAGTATGGCATCTATGAACCAGCACGCGCGCGTGGTCCTTTGCATCAGAAATAATTTTCCATTTTTTCTGGATACTACACCAGAGATAATTTATTTTTCTTTTTCCAAATTTCTATATGAATTCAGAAATTCTTTTCTTTATTAGTAAGATTTGGCTCACATAATAAAATAGCAGAAATAAAAAGACGTTTTTTTTAACAATCTTACTAAGAAAAAAATCCGTTGTTTCTCGGGTATATAACACTTTTCAAGCCACCTCCGTCTTCCTTCAACCTTCAAAGCCTCCTCCTTCTCCCCCATCTCTTCCTTTTCTTCGCTAAAAATTTTCAATTTTGGCAACAATTTTTGCATTAGAGAGGGAAAGGAGAAAAAATGTTTGGTTTTGGGGATGAAGTAAGGATTGAAAGCTACAGAATCCCTGGCTGATATGGATCCAAATAAACTTCCTTCTACTTCTCCTGTTCTTCTTTACGGCTTCATTCTCCTGGTTTTGGATCTCCCCGAAACCTCTTCCTCTGATTCCCAGTTGGCCATAATACCCGTTTTCAACCGAATTACAGCATTTTCTTCCCAGGTATCCACTTCTTTCTTTGTCATTCAAATGGGTTGAGTTAATATTTTCTTCGCCAAAAAGAAAGAATCGTCAGAGACTATCTGTCCATGAACTTGTATTTTCTTTTTTACTCCTCCATTTTGATCTTTTATGTTATAGTATTGTATACAGTGAATTTTGGGCAAATAATGTGAACAATTATTATATTCACTTCAGGTGATGGGCATTGATTAATGAAGACAGTAACAATTGTGTTTAATAATTTGGGTAATGGGCAGGTTGTAGAAAAGCAGAGCATAAAGGGAAAGATAGGCATGGCCAGAGGAACATGTAGAAGGATGGTAAGCGGAGGAGGAGGAGAAGAGAGCGTAGAAATGGAGGGATCTTCAATCAAGGAACCAAATGAGATTAGTTTACATCATCCTTGCCATTATTTGGGGCTTGCTAAACTAGCTTTTCTCAAGTGTTTGGGTCTTGATTTATTGTGTTCTGATAATGCTTCAATTACTGAACAAATATAGCATCTCTTCATTTTATTACCTCAAATTCATTCAGCTTCAGTGAAATTTTCTATTTAATCAAACTAACATCATCAGCAGGTCCTCATGCAAGTGTTGGAATTGTTATGTAGGAATTCATTTAACTTGCCTGATGGAATTGTTCTTTTAGCATGAAAATATGAACGACGAAGGTGATCAACATCTTCCTGTGAACCTTTGCACATTGTGTATGTTATAGTTGTCAAATGCCTTCGAGTTCGAACTACATTCGTCAAAAAAAATTATATATAAAGCACCAATGTATGGAAATATAATCCATATGTTATATTTTTTTAATGCTATGTTGTGATGGGTATTATCTGTTCAGAAGTTTTATTAACTATTAACAACATACATCTTGCATATACAATTGTAACTCACAACGTCAATAAAATATAACACCTATTTAATCGCTGAGACCACTTGATGGATTCTCCACATGTTAAATATTAATTTCACTAGTTTATTACCAAATATAATTAAACTAAAACATATCATACTTTTCATAAATCAAATACAATATATATATATTAGAATTTCATTGACAATGCACACCTACTTCACAGACGCAACTACTCAAACTTAGAACTTCAAGAGAGTAACACTTTCATTAATCACTACTCGAACCTAGAGCTCCAAGAGAGAACAATACTTCTATTAATCACTGAGTCCACCCAATAGACTTTTATGTATATCAACTTGATCTTGAACCATTGTATTATTTACATTTTCTATCGTATTTTATATGAATACATGCTTATTTGATATTTACGAAGTTATATAACTTGTTATTTTTGGACCATTAAGATGATATAGATGAAACAACATTGCATAATGATTTTGACGTAATTGTAAAATTTTCATTTTTATTAGCAAAATTATCTGTTAGTTTGAGGGAAGGATTTATTTGATACAATATTAATATTGTTATATTTCAATTAGAGTGAAGTAGAAGGGTTTGAAGATTGATACCAATTTAGAATAAATGACATAGTTTGAGGACGGAGGTTAGAATTAACCCGAGAAAATATAAAACAAATCAAATTTGGAGCTGCAGCTTGCAATACCCGTCGATGAAGAGTCTAGGCAAACTCAAGATGTTTTGGATAAAAGGGGAACGAAGGGAGGTTGGATTTGGAAGAAAAGTTGCGAAATAAATCAAGATCCATGTTGAGTACACTAAAATTACAGGCAGCTGATTTCAGCATTACCTCCTTCAAGCACGCCTTCCCTAATAACATCCGCCCACTACGTTCTCTCAGTAATCTCCGCCTTCCGCTCCGCCGCAACGCTTCCCATCCCTTCCGGTCGTACTATGTTTCAGCTTCGTCGTCTTCGTCTGAGACGTCAGTTTCTACTCATAACATCTCCTCCGTCGGATCCCCCACTCTTCAGCTCTCTCAATGGGGCCTCACCAACCGCCACATCCTCGTGTTCAAAGTCTTCGCCTGCGCTGTCAGTTCTCCTTATTTAGTTCCCTTAATTTTTCTGCTTGTTGTTTGGAACTTAGCCTGAATTTGTAAATGAAATTGAATGCACTTGTACTTAGTTAATGAAGTTGCAGCTAAAAATACTGGAACTTGAAATCTTCATTCGACAATATCATTCATTTAAAGAGAAAACAAATAAAAACCTTATAATTTTGCTGGTCACATACAAAACAATTCAGCAGTCGTACATTTGGCTTAATGAGGTTCCCTGTTCAAAGAACTGATTTCGAATCCCTTGAACTCAATGGGTCTATAGTCGATGCCCTTGAATTCAATTTGAGGAACCATAGATAGGAAATTCATGTTTGGTTTGCGCTCAGTTATTCCAGGAAGGTCTTTCTAGTTCTAGACTGAAGCTTCTTAAGTCCTTTAATTCTCCAAATATAAAGCACTTTAGTCTATGAACAATTCAGAAGTTTTTCATTCTTTCTAGCATGCTTCCGAATATAAAGTATGTAACTGCTATCACATTGAGGTCTTCTGCCCTACTTGCAGCATTGTCAGTAATGTAGTATGCCCGAAGCAAGAATCAGGTCACAATGACGCCTTATAACTTATGTTACCTAGACTTTTGATTTTACCTAAAATATCTGTGTGGTTTACTTACATCTGACACATTTTTTGACATGGATACGAGGATAAAGTCCTCTAATTATATGAAAAATACTTGGCAAAAAGTTGAGTATATATGTGTTGGACACTTAGCCATAGCTGATAATCATGCGAGTCTGAGTAACATAGCTTATAGCAAGAGTTCCCTGTTGAGATTATCTACTCTATTTGTGTAGAACATTTATTGATTCTGTAATCCATTGGAAGGAGAGTACCTAGATTTTAAACTTCTTCTTTTAAGGATTTATTAGGTCAAATGTTTTTGCACAGTGATTGTTCTTACTCTGTTAATCAGAAAATTATAAGTATTTTGTAATTCTGACAAATCTAAAAATCTTTACTAGGTGGCCTTTTTGGCAACTTGGCTTTTTCTCTCTGCAATCCCTACTCTTCTGGTTGGTTACTCTTGAACAACTTCAAGTTCAGTGATATTGGCATTTCAATGATTAATCTCACAAGTTCTAAAGGATAGTATTTATTCTTGTCCATTTTGTATTCTTTTTTATGAAAGGCTTTCAAGAGAGCAGCAGAGTCACTAGAGAAGCTGATGGATGTCACCAGGGAAGAGCTTCCTGATACAATGGCTGCTGTTCGGTTATCAGGCATGGAGATTAGCGACTTGACAATGGAGCTTAGTGATTTGGGGTTATTATTTTACTTGTTCACTTGATGAATTGCTTATCTCTTCTCTCTTTGTTTCCTTTTCCCCCTTTTCTTCAATATATTTTCTCCCTTTTAACTGATCAAAAAAAGATAACATACAAATCTATCTTGAAGTCATAATAACCAGTTGTTTATTTGTGTTACAGACAGGGGATTACTCAAGGTGTTAGAAGCTCAACCAAAGCTGTTCGGTTAGCTGAGGAGACATTGCGTGGGTTAACAGATGTTGGTTCATCAGGTTATTCATACATATATTGCTGTTTTAGTTACTTGTTACAAGCTTTCAAATGGATACCAATGAATTTTACTTTATTTTTACTTGATTAGCTTCGGTGCAGGTGGTAGCCAGTCAGAAAGCTGAAGTACCACGACCAGTGTTGGCTAGAACTGCAAGAAGCATAAGGGAGGGAATTGTAAAGGGTCGAGCCATATTTCAAATATTTTTCACTCTTACCCGATTTTCTAAGATTGTTCTTAACTATTTTTCCAGCCGGGGTAAGCGGTAGAACTATGGAGGCAAGCTTTGTGTTAGGCAAGTTTGGATTTGTCTTCTATGCATGCGATGCTGAATTTTGTCATCTTCTGTTACCATTTTTACCCCTTAATGTGTAGTGTGTATGACTTGAGATCCAAGTGACCTATCGAGTTAGGATTCTTTGCTGTCTCTTTTTGTTCTGCTGATTGCAGTTGAAGCATCATGCTTTGGCTAAAAGATATACGAACGATGATAAAATTTTTGCTTTGGACCAGTTGATATGAAGCTTGAGATCCTTCAGCTTCCATCTGCACTCTCCCTTTTCGTTTCACGAATCGGCATGCAGATTTATCGTGTTACTGTTGCTTGCTGGTTTGCTAGTGGTTTTTAGGCACTAATGTTACTTTTTTTTATATGTTAATTCCCGGTTTTAATACTGAACTGTTTAATGTCCAACCTAGAAACGTATAATTGTGACAGGATATTGAGACATTTCAATCAGTCTAGTGAGGGCTCCATAACAAATAGAGATAAGGGAGAAGATGCTTAAAAGTAGAAGACAACTAGTCCATAACAAAGTGAAAAGGGGAACACGCAAGTAAATTTCAAAAACGCTTCTTCTAGCTTTATCAAGCCCCACTAAACAACGCTGTTGCCAGTCGAATGCCGTTTGATTTGTTCTTCCTATCCATTTGCTTATAAATCCATCTGGTTACCCTAGTTTTACCTAGTGTTTTTTACCCAATGTTACCCGGATTTTTTTCACTTTTCTTAGAACTGTCTGAAACCTATATTTCAGACACGAGTCACACGAGTTATGTTCTTCCAAACACATATAAGTTTATGGATTATAACAGTATGAAACACCCATTCACATGTCCGAGTAAGACATGTTTCGACTTAACATGAGAGTTTATAGTTTATAACTGCTTGCTCATCGCTCTTCTCAATTATGAGAATCATGTTGACAGTAGAAATTAATCTATGTTTGGAGTAACTCTTGATCGCGTGTATAACTGTGTTGTGACACGTAATTTTGTGCAAGTATACACAATCGAAGCAAGTAATATAGTAGTAAGTAAGTTATCGTCTCCACAGGGATTAATTGAAATTTTTTATGATTGTTATAGCTAGAACTAGGTGTCACTAACTAGTCCTAAGATTCTTGTCTAATGGTATTCACAAAGGGAAAACAAGTAGTAGCAAACAGATGGAAAAATGTATGGCCGAGGCAAGAAAAATTGTAAAGTGAAGTGAGCAGAAAAGTTGTCATAGAGAGAAAAATATGTGAATGTAAACAAATAAAAGATGTCAAGGCAAAGAAAAATGTTTAGTTCAATATATTCTGAAAAACCTCACACAATCAGACCTCTAACGGAACACTTGGGTTGGATTCACTACGACAAGAAATTATTTTACGTCTAGGATTATTTAGTATGCTATGTCTATGCTGCCCGACAGGACTTACAGAGTGTTCCTAGAACTTTTGCTACGGCAATACTACCCAACGTGAATTGCAACCCTTGGTTTGTCAAACTGTTGCTGCAGCAATACCCCTCAGCGTAAACTATAGCTCTAGTCTATCTACTCAAGCATTTACCCTTTTTAGTAGAATGAAACACTCTCCTTATCTCTAAGGCATATTAGAAACTCACCATCCCAGATTAGTTCGCTTGTTCACGTAGATCTAACCTAACTATTTTTAATATTAGGTATCAACTCCTAGAAAAATGACAATCTTTCAAAAGCTCTTACAAAGACTAGGAATATTTTGCCTTGGCACCAGACAATCTTTTTAAAGCTCTTACAGTGCCAAGGAAAAATATTAAAACAATGAACAAAATAACATTCAACAAAAATATTCTTAATCATTCATTAACAATCAAAGAAAGTATCATTCAAGCATTTCCAACACCAAATAAAACATTTTATGGTGTGAAAAACATCATCCAAAAAATAATCTTTAAATACAATCCCTTAAATGATATGGAAATAAATAACAAGAGGAAGAAAAACTCCAGAACAGAGCTTTGTCGTGACATCAGACCACCACCATTACTGCTCCAGCGGCCAGCCTCTCTCAATGGCCTGACCGCTACTCTGGGGAAGCCTAGCTATGGAGGGCACCAAGGACGGTCTTGTGGGGGACGGTGGAAAAGGATGTGTGAAACACAACACCTCCCCCAAACTTGAGGGATGCATTATCCTCAATAAATGAAAACGAAAGCAATTTAAATTACTCTAAATGCTATGCAAATGCAAATGTAAAGAGGTAACTCATTGTGGTGGGTCAATTCTAATGGACACTCGGGTTTGGCGTCGCTTGAGAGGAGGGGGCTGACAGATCCAGTTTTATCTTAGGGTTGCAGTGATTGAGGCAAAATAGCAACACAGCCAGTTGGCATTTGATGCGACGCTTGGTCCTGGGAGAACTATCTTGTAGTGGCATTTTCTCGGTGGATGAGGTCTCAGCAGGTGCATTCAAGGGCTTGCTAGCTTTGGGATCGTCAACCAGTTCGGTGGTCAAATCTGGTGGTTGATCTGGGGTGTGTCTTAACCCTAAGCTGCCATGTGTCAAAAGATTACTAAAGAGAAAATATTAGAGAATAAAATAAAGATAAATAACTCGTACAAAATAAAATAAAGAAGAATTATTTATGTACAGAATGCAAAATATTTTGCATGGGTAAAGAAATTTGTTCATGGAAAAGAAGCAAACTCTTGGGCATCATGGAGTAGCAACTCTAATTTGTCACGTAGGATTGGTGCTTAATTGTACGCTTTCAGTCTTTGACCATTCACTTTAAAAGTTGTCCCATTATCCAAGTTCGTGATTTCTATTGCGCCATGGCTATACACTTGATGCACTACGAAAGGCCTTGACCATCTAGATTTCGGCTTGCCTGGAAACAACTTGAGCCTTGAGTTTTAGAGCAGTACTTGTTGGCTCAGAAAAAATTACCGTGGAAAATTTTTCTATCATGTCACTTTTTCGTCTTTTCTTTGTAGAGCGGGCGTTCTCATACGTTTGAGCTCTAACTTCTTCTATCTCGTTTAGCTCCAACAACCTCCTTTCTCCAGCAAATTGTGAATCCATATTAAGTTTCTTGATGGCCTAAAATGCCTTGTGTTCTAGTTTCACAGGAAAATGACAAGCTTTTCCATAAACTAACTTGAATGGAGACATCCCTAGTGGCATTTTAAATGTTGTACGATAAGCCCACAGTGCCTCATCGAGCTTTGGCGACCAATATTTTCTTCTTGGGTTGACTACCTTCTCAAGTATTTGCTTGATCTCACGGTTGGAGACCTCAGCCTGTCCATTAGTCTAGGGGTTGTATGACGTGGCAATTTTATGGCGCACCCCATATCTTTACAACGCCTTGGCAATTAATTTGTTGTCAAAGTGGGTGCCCTCATAACTGATATTTGCTCTTAGAACTCCAAAACGTGTGAATATGTTTTTGTGCAAGAATTTTAGCACGGTCTTGGAGTCATTTCTAGGTATTGCCACAACCTCGACCCATTTGGATATGTAGTCCACGGCTAAAAGTCTGTATAGATCGCCAAAGGACAATGAGAATGGTCCCATAAAATCGATTCCCCATACATTGAAAAGTTCAATTTCCAAAATATTTTTCCATGACATCTCATTTCTCTTCGATATACTCCCGGTGCGTTGGCAACGATCACTTGACTTATAGAAGTCTTGTGCATACTTGAATAAGGTGGGCCAGTAGAAGCCAGATATGAGGACCTTTGCATCAGTCCTCATCCCACCAAAGTGCCCTCCACACGGGGATGTATGACAATGAAATATGATCTCCTTGTGTTCTTCTTCGGGGATGTACCTCTGGATTATTTGATCTCTACATTGCTTGAATAAGAACGATTCATCCCAATAATAATGTCGTACATCATGTCTGAACTTTTTTCGGCCCTGGCAAGATAAATCTGGAGGCATAATACCACTAACAAGAAAGTTAACTATGTCAGAATACCACAGAGCAGTCGCGACAAATAAAATTTTCTCTTCAGGGAATTCCTCATGAATTTCTTTCATGTCATGGAAAATGTTTTTGTTCTCTAGCATAGACAAATGATCTACTACTTGGTTCTCGGTACCCTTCCTATCTTTCACCTTAAATCAAATTCTTGCAACAAGAGTATCCATCTAATAAGCCTAGGCTTGGCGTCCTTTTTATTCACTAGGTATTTAACGGCTGAGTGATCAGTGTGTAAAATGACCTTAGTGCCTATAAGGTATGCCCTAAACTTATCAAAAGTGAATACTACGATAAGCAATTCTTTTTCAGGGGTGGTATAGTTAAGTTGTGCATCATATAGGGTAAGGCTAGCAAAATAAATGACATAAAAGATTTTACCTTTTCGTTGTCCGAGCACTGCCCCTACTGTGTAGTCACTTGCGTCGCACATCAGCTCAAAAGAGGCGTCTTAGTCTGGTGAAACAACAATTGGTGTCGATGTAAGTTTTTTCTTCAGATCCGTGAATGCGCTGAGACATTCATCATTGAACACAAATGACTGGTTTTGCTACAGCAAAATACATAAATGCTTTGAAATCTTTGAAAAATCTTTGATGAAACGCCTATAGAATCATGCATGCCCTAGAAAACTTCTTATGCCCTTCACAGTGGTAGGTGGAGGCAGATTCTCAATCACTTCCACCTTGGCTTTATTAACCTCGATGTCGTGGTGAGAAATTTTATGTCGCAACACAATTCCTTCTATCACCATAAAGTGACATTTCTCCCTATTTAGCACAAGGTTGGACTCCTCACATCTCTTCATCACTTTAGATAAATTGTCGAGGAATCGGTCAATGTCATCACCCGAGACGAAAAAAATCATCCATGAATATTTCCAAGAAGTCCTCCACCATGTCTGATAAATGGCTATCATACACATTTGAAAAGTTTTCGGGGCGTTGCATAATCCGAACGACATCCTTTTAAAGGCATAGGTGTCATATGGGTAGGTGAAGATGGTTTTCTCCTGATCTTCGGGTGCTATGGAATTCTGATTATACCCAGAATATCCGTCGAGAAAATAATAAAATGCCTTACTCGCCAAACAATCAAGCATTTGATCGATGAAAGTTAGAGGAAATGGTAATTCTTCGTCACCTTGTTTAGTTTTCGATACTCCTTACAAATCCTCCACCTCGTGATGGTTCTCTTTGTCAAAACCTTATAATTCTCGTTCTTTACCACGATCACGTCACCCTTCTTCGGCACGCATTGAACTGAGCTGACCTAAGAGCTATCAGATATGGGATAGATCACC